GTATGGGAGTGTTATGAATTGTTTCCTATGTTTGCTAAGATCATTTGATGTCCATCTTTGCCTTCTGAATTTTTAATTAGTGATTTCAAGTTTATAACTTCAGTAACTAGATTATGCACATATTTTTTTAAGTTATAAAGCTGATTGTTGATAAGTCTCTTTAGTCATTTTTTTTCTTTTTATAATTTGAGGGCAGCTGTTAAAAATTAACTTTCATTTCTCTGAAATTTCTAGATGCGATATATGTACACTGTGAAGCATTGTCAGCTGATTTTATACATATTATTTTTGCATATTTTGAAATTTTCGAGTAATCAATCTCAAGATTTCTCACACTATAGGTCGAGATGACATGAAAGCGGACTGTATTTTGTATTATGGCTTTGGAGATATATTCAGAATAAGTTCAATGGTGGTGATGGAAAATGTGGGACAACAGAAGCTTTATGAGATGGTGTCATATTGTCAAAACATAAGCAAGTAAGCCACATACATTTTTATAACTTGTTATTTAAACATAAGCAGTATATGAAAGTCTATGAAATTACTTTGAGTACTTGCTCAGTAAGTAAATACACTGGTAGAATATCAAGTACAAACCTGTAAAAGCAAATGTCAGTACATGAACCCTCAGGATCTGCCTTAATTCAAGAAGAGATATTCTCTCTCTCTCCTTGATAATCCTCCAAAACTATTTTTTATTGTTTTGTTTTTAAAGTAAAACAAGCATATTGAGATGCTGATTTTAATTAAAGAATAACTGACACTACGTTTCAGGTATACAACATAGTGAATCAGTATTCATATACATTACGAAATGGTCACCACAGTAAGTCTAGTGACCCTCTGTCACCCTACAGAGTTGTTACAATATTAAGGACTATATTCCCTCGGCTGTGTATTACATCCCCCGGTCATATTTATTTTATAACTGGAAGATTTTACCTCTTAATCCCCTTCACCTTATTTCACCCATCCCCCTTTTATTGAAAGTTTTGATACAAATGAGTCCAAGCCTTTTCTCTCTGGCTCTGGAATATAGCTACATGCTTTACTAATTCTGAAAAGGTATATACGGTTGGCATTTTGAGAGCTGACCTTGGCTCGGTAACAGGTACCATCTCACCAGCTGATGAGCTGATGAAATAGTTGAGAACAGGGTTAAGTTTCTCCTTAAGAAATAAATTTAAATCTATTTAGGGTGGTTTTAGTTAGACCATATAGTTCCCTGATGGCTTTTCAGTGATAGTCCTATTTTTATACTCTTATTGCCCATCCTAAAAAGGACTCACAAATTTTGAACTTATAAGCAGTTATTGGACTGTGACAGAAAATGTCATTTCTTTCCTATAGGTGGTGCAACAATCTCGTTAAAGAAATAAGAAAATGAAAATTTCCTTAGATATCCAATAGACTCCCAAGAAGCATATTTTGGAGTTTAGAGTCAAATACAAGAAACTGCTACAATACAAGAAACTGCTTTGCTATCAGGGAAAGTCTCTTAATTTTTGCACACTACTGAATCTCAAAGGGAATCTTAGACAACTTCTGAAAGAAGTATTTATCAAATACATATGGAAAAAATTATATGTGGTAGGCAGAAGAACAGTCTCCCAGAGACTAGGGTATAACCCTGGGTTGTTTCGATGGGTCCAGTATAATCACAAGGGTCCTAAATGTGGAAGGAAGCAGGGAAGGTCAGAATGATACTCACTGGCTTTGAAGATGGAGGAAAGGGAGGCATGGCCAAGGAATTCACGCATTCTCTAGAAACTGGAAGGGACAAGGAAACAGATTCTCCCTTAGAGCCTCCAGAAGAAATCCATCCCTGCTGACACCTTGATTTTAAGCCAGAGAGACCCATGTCAGACTTCTGTAGAAATTTAAGATAATAAATCTGTGTTGTTTTAAGCCACTAAGCTTGTGGTAATGTTATGACAGCATTAGGAAACTAATATAGTCTATAACTCTGTGTTTTGAAATAGGCATTCTTAAAACTTCTTAGGTCATTTAATAATTTGTATCTCTCAATGTGTTTGCAGGTGTCGCCGTGTATTGATAGCTCAACATTTTGATGAAGTGTGGAATTCAGAAGCATGCAACAGAATGTGTGATAATTGTTGTGAAGACGTTGGTGAGTTCACAGTTTTTCTAACTGAAGTAGTGTTACGTTAGTGTCAGGTGTACAACGTAGTGATTCCGTAAGTCTGCGCACTGTGCTGCCCACAGGTACAGCTACCGTCCGTCACCGTGCGGTGCTGTTACAGTACCTCTGACTCTATATTCCCTGTGCTGTACCTCTCACCGCATGACTTACTCATTCCATAACTGTAAGCCCGCACTCCCACTGCCCTCCAGCCATTTGACCCATCCCCCCACCTCCCTCCCCTCTGGCAAACGTCGGTTTGTTTTCTGTATTTGTGGGTCAGTTTCTGCTTTCTGCTTATTCCTTTGTTTTGTTTCTTAGATTCTACATATAAGTGAAATCCTATGGTATTGTCTTTGTCTGACTTATTTCACTTAGCATAATACCCTCTGTCCATTCGTATTGTTGCAAATAACAAGATCTCATTCTTTTTTATGGCTGAGTATTACTGCATTGTGTATATATACCACAGTGGCATATCAGTGGACACTTGGGATGCTACCATATCTTGGCTATAAATGTAATGGTACATATATCTTTTCAAATTAGTGTTTTCGTTTTTTGGGAGGGTAAGTACCAGGTAGGGGAATTACGGGATCATGTGGTAGTTCTGTTTTTAATTTTTTGAGGAACCTCCGTACTGTCTTCCGCAGTGGCTGCATCAGTTTGTACTGCTGCCAGTGGTGTACAAGGGTTCCATTTTCTCCACATCCTCACCAACACTTGCTGTTTCTTGTGTTTTTGATTCTAGCCATTCTTATAGGTGTGAGGTGATATCTCACTGTGGTTTTGATTTGCATTTCCCTAATGATTAGTGATGGTGAGCATCTTTTCATGTGTCTGTTGGCTGTTTGTAGGTCTTATTTGGGAAAATGTCTATTCAGGTCTTCTGCCCATTTTTAATTGGATTATTATTGTTGTTTTTTGGTTTTGAGTTGTGTAAGTTCTTTATATATCTTGGATACTAAACTTTTATCGGATATGTCATTTGCAAATATCTTCTCTCATTCAGTAGATTGTCTTTTAGTTTTGTTGATGGTTTTCTTCACTGTGCCAAAGCTTTTTGGTTTGCTGTGGTCCCAGTAATTTATTTTTGCTTTTGTTTCCCTTGCATGAGGAGACATATTCAGAAAAACGTTGCTATGGCCAATGTCAGAGAAATTACTGCCTATGTTCTCTTCTGGCATTTTATGGTTACAGGTCTTACATTTAGGTCTTTAATCTATTTTGAATTTGTTTTTGTATATGGGAAGAAAGTGGTCCAGGTTTCCCAACACCATTTATTGAAGAGAGTGTCTTTTTCTCTATTCTTTTATCCTTTGTCATAGATCGACCAGATATACAAGTGTGGGTTGATTTCTGGGCTATTCTTTTTCATTGATCTGTGTCTATTTTTGTGCCAGTACCATATCATTTAATTATTACAGGTTCGTAGTATATCTTGAAATCTGGGATTTGAACTAGCTTTTGTTCTTTCTCAAGATTTCTTTGAGGTCTTTTGTGGTCCCATACAAATTTTAAGATTATTTGTTCTACTTCTATGAAAAATGGTGTTGGTATTTTGATAGAGATGACAGTGAATCTGTAGATTGCTTTGTGTAGTAGGCATTTTACCAGTATTCTTCCAATCCATGAGCATCGAATATCTTTCCATTTGCTTGTGTAGTCTTCAATTTCTTTCATCAGTGTTTTATAGTTTTCAGAGTATAGGTTCTCTTGCTTCCTTGGTTTAAGTTTATTCTTGGGTATTTTATTATGTTTGGTGCAATTGTAAATGGAATTGTCTTTTATAATTTATAATATATAATATATAATTTAATTGTCTTTTATAATTTATCTTTCTGCTACTTCGTTATTAGCATATAGAAATGTAACTGATCTCTGTGTATTTTGTATCCTGCAACTTTACTGAGTTCGTTTATTCTAATAGTTTAGTTGAGTCTTTAAGGTTTTCCATGTATAGTATCATGTCATCTACAAATAGTTGTATTTTAACTTCTTCCTTACCAATATGGGTTTATTTCTTTTTCTTGCTGTGGCTAGGACTTCTAGTACTGTGTTGAATAAAAGTGGACACCCTTGTCTTGCTCCTGACCTTGGAGAAAAAGCTCTCAGTTTTTCACCATTGAGTGTAATGTGAGCTCTAGATTCTTCATGTATGGCCTTTATTATGTTGAAGTATGTTCCCTCTACACCTACTTTATGGAGTTTTTATCATGAACAGATGTTGAATTTTGTCAGATGCTTTTTTTGCCTCTATTCAGATGATACATGGTTTTTATTCTATCTCTTATAAATGAGTATCACATTGATTGATTTGCAAATATTGAACCATCCATGTATCCCGGGAATAAATATCACTTCATTCTGGTGAATGATCCTTTTAATGTGTTGTTGAATGTGGTTTGCTAATATTTTGTTGAGGAATTTTGCATCTATGTGCATAGGTGATATTGGCCTGTAGCTTTCTTTTTGTGTGTTGTCTTTGTCTGGTTTGGTATCAGGGTAATTATGGCCTCATGGAATGTATTTGGAAGCTTTCCTTTTTCTGTTTTTTGGTATAATTTCAGGAGATGTATGTTTGGTAGAATTCATCTGTGAACCCATCTGGTCTTGGACTTGGCTTTTCTTTTTGCTTCCATTTTGCATGTTTTTCCATCCCTTCACTTTTAATCTGTATGTGTCTTTAGGGCTGAAGTAAGTCTCTTATAGGCAGCATATAGATGAGTCTTTTTTTTTTTTTTTAAGGTTTTATATATTTATTTGACAGAGGGAGCAAGAGAGCGAGAGAGAGCAGGAGCAGAGGGAGAGGGAGAAGCAGGCTCCCCACTGAGCAGGGAGCCCGATGTGGGACTCCATCCCAGGACCCTGGGATCATGACTTGAGCCAAAGGCAGACGCTTAACTGAGCCACCCAGGCACCCCAAGTCTTGTTTTTGTATATCATTCCAGCACCCTGTGTTTTTTGAGTGGAACATTTAGACCATTTACATTTAAAGTAATTATTGATAGCTGTTTACTTATTGCCATTTTGTTTTCTGGTTGTTTTTGTAGTTTTCTTTTCTTGCTTTCTTTGTGATTGATGACTTCCTGTGGTGTTATGTTTGGCTTTCTATTACTTTTTTTCCCACTTTTTTTTTTTAAGTTTGCCTTTTTATTGTTTTATTTTTAAAATTTTTAAAAAAGTAATCTCTATGCCCAGTGTGGGGCTCAAACTCACAATCCTGAGATCAAGAGTTGCATCCTCCACTGATAAGCCAACCAAGAGCCCCTATTTTTTTAATTTATTTCTTTTATTTGAGTTAACACAATGTTACATTGGTTTCAGATGTACAACATAGTGATTCAGCAACTCTAAGTTATGCTGTGCCCATCAGAAGTGTAGCTACCATCTGTCACCACATAACACTATTGCAGTACCATTGACTATATTCTGTATACTGTATTTTTTCCCTTTATCTATTACAGGTGTTGGATTTGTGGTTACCATGAGGTTCATATATAACATTCTAAGTATAAAGCAGTGTATATTAGATGATGGTCATTTAAGTTTGAACACATTCTAAAAGAACTTCTTTTTCACACCCCCTCCATGGTTTATGTATATGTTGCCATGTATTACATCTTTTTATTGATAATTTCCCTACATCTAATTATGGCCTTTTCTTTTCCACTTAAAGAAGTCCCTTTAGGATTTCTTATAAGGTCAGTTTAGTGGTGATGAACTCCTTTACCTTTTGTTTGTGAACTCTCTCTCTTCTTCAATTCTGAATGATAATCTTGCTGGGTATTCTTGATTGTAGGTTTTTTTCCTCTCAGCACTGTGAATGTATCATGCCACACTCTTCTGGCCTGCGAAGTTTCTGCCAAAAAATCAGCTGATAGCCTTATGTGGTTTTTCTTTTATGTAACTTTTTGTTTCTCTCTTGCTTTTACACTTTTCTCTTTAATCTTTGACCATTTTAATTTTGTGTGTGGACCTTCTTGAGTTCATCTTGTTAAGGGGCTCTGTGTGCTTCCTGAATCTGGGTGTTTGTTTCCTTCCTTGGGGAAGTTTTCAGCTATTTCTTCAAATTTTCTGCCCCTTTCTCTTTTCTGTTTCTGGGACCTCTATAATATGAATGTTCACTTGATATTGTCTAACAGATCCCTTAACTTATCCTCATTTTTAAAAATTATTTATTTTTGCTGGGTGCTGTCCATTACCCCACCTTTCAGATCATTGATCTATTCTTCTGCATCCATTAATCAGCTGTTGATTCCCTCTAATGTATTTTTCATTTCAGTTGTTGTATTTTTCAACTCTGGTTCTTTGTGGTTTCCAGTTTTTTGTTGAAGTTCTTAGAGTTTTTTCATCCTTCAGTCCAGCAAGCATTTTTAAGATTACTTTCAACTCTTCATCATGCATATTATCTCCATTTCATTAAGTTCTTATTTTGAAGTTTTGTTTTGTTTTTTGATTTGGAGCATATTGCCTTGTTTCCCCATTTTGCTTGACTTTGTGTTTGTTTCCATGAATGAGGCAGAACTGCTGCTAATCCCAAAGTTGAAGGAATGGTCTTGGTGTGTGGTTGTCCCCTGTGTACGTAGATAGTACATGCCTGGTGATTTTTGTTGACTGGCTGGAGCTGTGGCTGGCATGCACTATAGGTTGCAGGGGACCCTGTAGTGGGGTCACCTGGGTGGGATGGCTGGAGTTTAAGTGGGTGTGGGCTGGGGCATTTCTGAGTCTCTTTGCAGAGGGTACCGTGGCAGAACAGATGAAGCTAAAGTGGGTGCAAGCCAGGGGTGGTCCTGGGGTTCTCCATGCATAGGGCACCTGGCAGGATGGCTGAAACCAAAGTGGGTGTAAATTGGGGTATTCTGGCGTGCACAGAAGATGCCCTGGTTGGGGCAGCTAGAACTGCAGCGGGTTGCTGGCTGAGGAGATCCCTGGGTGCTTCGTGCAGGGGACAACCTGGCAGTCAGCTGTAGTTGAAAGGGCTGGGGCATTCACAGGGCTCTTTGCACAGATGGTACCCTGGAAGGACAGCTGAAGTGAGTGCAAGCCAGGTTGTCCTGGCAGGGAAGCTGGGGGATGGCCTAGAAAGCTGTCTGAAGCCAAAGTGGTGCAGGCCTGGAGTGTTCTGAGGTGCTTTGTGGAGCTGTAGTGAGCACTGACCAGGGCTGTCATCGTGTGCACCACCATGGGGCTGCCTTGGTGGGACAGCTGGGGCTGGTGTGCTTTGGGGGCTCAGAGCTCACTGAGGTGGTAGGCTGATAGGGCACCTGGGCCTTGCTCCCATCTATGCTGTCAAGGGGGACATAAACTGTGGCATTCACTGGACCCTCTAACCCAGAGATAGTTAGCATGGTTCAAGGGCTATTTCCTTTATATTCTGGTGGATCTTTTAAGCCATAGCTTTTATTTTCTGTGGCCCAACATAGATGAATCTGTTCCTGGTACCTCATTACTGTCCTCTGCACTGCAGTTTGCAGCAGCGAGGGTGGGGTCACCCTTTGTTACCACCTCTCAGTCTCTCTCGGTGGTTCTCTAGGTGGTCTGTGTTGTTGTACAGAAGCTGTTCAGTGAGCTCTCAGTTGTTCTTCAGGAGGAATTGCCTATAAATAGGTGTAGATTTGGTGTGCCCATGAGGGGAGTTCAGGATCTTCCTGTGTCACCATCTTAGACTGGAACACTCCCTAGTTCATTGTTTTTAAATTTTTATAGGCTAATATATATAGCTAGGACTACATGGGGGCAGTATTAGACCCCAAAATGGATTAAGCAAGCTGTGAATAGCATTTTCTAGGTTCAAAAGCAACAATTCAAAAGTTTGGGTTTTTTAAATATTTTTATTTATTTGACAGAGACAGACACAGCGAGAGAGGGAACACAAGCAGGGGGAGTGGGAGAGGGAGAAGCAGGCTTCCTGCTGAGCAGGGAGCCCGATGTGGGGCTTGACCCCAGGACTCTGGGACCATGACCTGAGCCAAAGGCAGATGCTTAACGACTGAGCCCCACCCAGGTGCCCCATTTTTTTGTTTTTTTTTTTTTAAAGATTTTATTCATTTGACAGAGACAGCGAGAGAGGGAACAAAGCAGGGGGAGTGGGAGAGGGAGAAGCAGGTTTCCCACTGAGCAGGGAGCCCAATGCAGGGCTCGATCCCAGGACCCTGGGACCATGACCTGAGCTGAAGGCAGATGCTTAACAACTGATCCACCCAGGTGCCCTGCAACAATTCAAAAGTCTTAAAGCTAAGGTAAATAAAGGGAGAAGTGCTGTGTGGATGTATGTATCTTACATTGCTAGATTATAGGCATGTTAAATTTTTAAGAAGTGAAGGAAAGTTTAAATTCTTCTGAATAGTAATGCTATTAAAAGGCTAGTCACCGATTGGGAAGAGAAATTTAATGCAAAGGAGAGATTATGGTCAATCGTTTCTGATCTAGATAATGGCTAACCACTCAGACACTAATTTAGCAGTGTTTTAGTGCTGTATTTTCACTTTTTTTATCCTGTGTGTTGTGTCTGAAGAGTTGGACTAACTGGTTCTCTCAGTTTTGATGTCTTGGTGGGTGAAGGTCACTATAATTTTAACTTTGCAGCTAGAGAAACTTGTATATGAGTTTATTATACTGCATTATAGTGACCACATTAACAAAAGTCTGATATATATGTAAGTCGGGTGCTAAAATCAGTAATTAGGAGTATCTGAGCAGGACATTCTTGTCTCTAAATCAGAGTGTGGAGGAAGCCATAGTTTTCAAAATGTTGCTTAATGAGCACAAATCAGGTAAATATGAAAAACAGACGGATTCTAACTCTGTCATGTATGGCATACACTGTAGTTCTAGAGCATACCCCAAGGCCTTCTGGTAACCAGCTTATTGTTTTTACGTTACTGTAAATTCAATAATGTCTTACAGAGACTCTAACTTAGTTTAGTGGTAGACTTAGGGAATAGCCTAGTTCTAATGCAGAACAAAACAGTTTAGGGTGGCTGATGTGGATGACTCATTTTAAACCACTTCAACTAGCCTGTGCTTGCTGTAATTTCTAAATCCCAGTTGCCTGTCTCATTACAGCATGTGAAAGAAAGAATGTCACAGCACACTGCAGAGATCTAATCAAGATCCTGAAGCAGGCAGAGGACCTGAATGAAAAGCTCACGCCACTGAAACTGATTGATTCTTGGATGGGAAAGGGTGCAGCAAAATTGAGAGTGGCAGGTGTTGCTCCGCCCAAACTTGCTCGTGAAGACCTGGAGAAAATTATTGTACATCTTCTTCTACAGCAGTATCTTAAGTATATACAAATCCATTTTTTGTCCTTTGGTGTTGTCTTTATGATTGTTTCTCATAACTGCAACAGAACAAGTAGTTTTCCAGTTGTTTCATATAAAACTCTTAAATGCCATATAAAATTTACCTAGTAAACTCCAACTTTAACTGATCACTGTTGTCAAAAAAAGCGCAATTTATAGAAAGTTATTTGTTTTGTGCAAGTTTCAGTCCCTATCAGTGTATTAAAATTATTAAAATTTATGGATTTTTTTTATAATTTCTGCAAGCCTTTCTGAGTGTCAGCTTTTACCTCCCACAGAGAAGACCACAGTTTCACAGCATTTGCTACCATCTCATATTTGAAAATAGGACCTAAAGCCAATCTTCTGAACAGTGAGACACATGTCATTGCTATGCAAGTAAAGAAGCCCATGCAGAGCTGTTTCAGGGTAACTAGTTATTCCTTTCTATATACTGAAAAAGCACATGAGAGCTTATGGGATGCTCTAACTAGTACTGTCCTGGGCCCAGTGGAACATAAGAGATAAGCAATTTTCTTCTTAGAATCTGAGTATGGAAGAGAGAAAACAAACCTTTACTTTCTATAGAGATGGTAACTAATAGTTTAAACTAGTCTACCTTTTAACATAGACTAGAGTTTCCAACCTTTTAGAATGTGAAAAGTCCGTTTTAGTGTTGTTTAATTTGCGATGCATCCTGCCCTCACAATGTTGGTTGTGGATCAACACTGGTTGAGAAGTCGGCCTGAGCAGCAGAGGTCGAGAACCAACGACTCTCCCACACTCAATACTCTCAAGCCTGCAAAAATATGCTATGTACCACTGTGTCTCTGACAACATATCCCTTCAGGGTAGGGCTCATATGAAGGACCCGTGGGATTATTAATCTGAAAAGAAAATGGAACAGCTGAGTTGTGACCAGAGTGTTTGCTTTGTTTTTATTTGCAGATTGAATCATCTCAAACTTGTCATCCTGAAAGAGCTGATAAAAAAAGGGAAGAAAAAAATTCAGGTAACTTCCAGAAGTCTGCAGACATGCTTCGGCAATCTAAGAATACAGGGACTAAGAAAAGAAAAATTGATGATGTATGAGTGTTTCTAAATTATCCAAGAAAACAGTTTATACATGTATACACCATTATTTTGTAGTTAAAAGTTAAAGAATTTTATTAATATTTTGTACATATGGAACTTACCTCTGAAGTATTGAAGACTTGAAAATTTGAGATCATGACTTATATAAATTTACAGTATGAAAGAAAAATAATTTTAATGTAAAATATTTAAGAATGAGTTCACATATCTTAAATCCTTTATCCCTTCACATACCTTTTGATAGTAATGTTATATGGAGTATTTTAAATAGGCTTATCACAGAAAGGGAGTGATTTCAGCTCGTAACAGCTGTAGAACCCAAATGTAAAAGGAATAAGGTATCAGTACTAATGATATTAGCAAGGAAGCTATTGCTATATCTCTAAGTAAAACAAAACAATAAGCCTCTTGAAACCATAACCCTCTCATATTTCATAATCATAGAATGAGTCTGGCATACCAGACCAAGTTGTTGGCCAATACTTGATAACAGCCTAGCTAAATCTGCTCCAAGGCTAAATCAGGATTAACTTAAATCCTTACACTTACATAAGTGGTCATTTTTCTGTTGGAAAAAAGTAACTGTGTATTAGTTGATCTTTGCAATTTTATTTATATTTTAGTACTTTCTCACTGAAATCATTATCACTTCTGTATTCTTAATTTCATTAAATCAGTGCATTTACCTTATTGTGACTTTCATGTGTTGTTTGGAACTTCATTTTGATTAAAAAAAGTCATTTTAAGAACTACATAATCTTCTAAATCAATATTTTGATCTAGCACATCTCCATATGATGAAAGGTCCATCTGATTTAAAATTAACTTTTCAAATGCTTCTTCTAAATCAGTTTCACCAATTAAGACAGCTCCCATCATTCGCCCATTCTGCATGACAACTTTGACGTATTCTTGTCCTTTCGTACATCTCAGCATTAATTCATGATCTGAACCTAAGCCCTGTGTGTTTTATCTTCCCAGCATTACGACCTGTATACAGAGATGATAAAAGTATTCTAGTAAGTACCAAAAAGGAAACATGATACGCAGTTACACTGTGTTAACCTAGAATGGCCAGCACAAAAATCTGTTCACAAAATTTTACAGCTAGAAGTGTCAGTGGAGAGGTGGGTCACAAAGAAAACATTTGAATGACATTGCATTTATTGTACAGATGACAATACCCCACAATCTCTATGATCATTAAAAGTATCTAGTAAATTAAATATGTAGGATCTGGACTATATTAGCCTAGAGTCATGACTTAAAGATTTAATAAGGAACTGAGTTAGATCTTTCATGAGCAAATTAACCTCCTTAAACTTTATGTGTGTTCCTCCTCATCAGTAAATTATGAAGAAAAGACTTGGCTCAGAGTAATGTAAAGAGGAGTAAATATGGGGCGCCTGGGTGGCTCAGTTGGTTAAGCGACTGCCTTCAGCTCAGGTCATGATCCTGGAGTTCCTGGATCGAGTCCCGCATCGGGCTCCCTGCTCGGCAGGGAGCCTGCTTCTGCCTCTGACCCTCCCCCCTCTCATGTGCTCTCTCTCTCTCTCATTCTGTCTCAAATAAATAAATAAAATCTTTAAAAAAAAAAAGGAGTAAATAATAGGCAAGGCAAAGCACCTGGTTCATTCTTGAGTATGATAACTATTAGTTCCCCTCACAAAGCAAGAATGAATCTCAAATAAATGCAGAAATGCATCAACAGGGAACAAATCTGAAAGAGACCCCCCCCCCTTAACTATAAAATAGTATAGCAAGAAGGTAGGTAATGATTAGTAATTAAGACCAGCAATAATACCAGGTTTGATTTGCAAGAACTAGGAAACTGGTGATTTTTTCTAAAATGATGAAAACCATGTAAATTCTTATTCAATGAGAAAACCAGATAATTAGTTACAAGACTAACAAGCAGAAAAAGTCACTAATCTGCTTATCTAGAATCTTACCTATAGTTTAAAAATTTTGTTACATGAGCAAAAAGTTCAAAGCTAAAGTCCATGTCAATAGATTCTCCTAAACTAGCTGCAGCCAGTGCACTTCACTGCATATCATCTCATCTGTCTAGCCTGCGTCTACAACCTCACCTGAAAGAAAAAAATGTTACGACATAAAAGTTTTCATTGTTCTACTTTAACAATACCTTACAAAATTCCTTAAAGGGGTTCACTGTTGACAGTCCTTGAGATTGGCTAGATCTAGAGAGCTAGAGGACTAGTTGGATTGTCTCTGGCATAGATAAGCAGTCACCAATCCACACCAACCAAACCAATTTTGGTATCTGATAATTTTATCCAAATTACTGCCTTTAAAATGAAAGGATGATACCAACTATGCATGTTTCAATAAGCTCTCCATTAAAAATAATTAAAATATTTCAGGCTACACTAAGAAAGAATACTACTTATTAACCAGTCTCTTCTTTCAGAGTAAGTTCATTATCAGCATAAGCAGAGATGACAAATTATCATTGAAAAATGCATTCCTTTTCCTACTCCTTAGTTTTTTGTGCTAGATAGTTAAGGCCTCCCATGCAGTTAAACCTCAATGGTCAGGCAGATCGATATAATAGGTGATGTCCAGCCTCAGGAAATCTTAACTGATTTCAGCAACCAATGCTGGGAATTCATTTTTGTTTGAGAGAGAAAGGGAGAGCGAGCTCAAGCAGGGGGAGAGGCAGGCAGAGGGAGAAGCAGGCTCCCCGCTGACCAGGGAGCCCGATGTGGAGCTCGATCCCAGGACCCTGGGATCATGACCTGAGCCGAAGGCAGACATTTAACCGACTGAGCCACCCAGGCGCCCCTGGAAATTCGTTTTAAGTTTTCCTTACAACATTGCTAATTTCTCCTCTACTGTATTTATTTTTATTGTATTTCTACAAAGTTTTGGGAATCCCTGACAGAACACTTGCCTTGGGAGCCAAGAGATTTAAATACCGACTCTTGTACATATTTAACTTTTTATTTTTATTTAATTAACTGAAACTTGATTTCTTTACCTGAAACATAAATGTACACCATCTATTCCATGGCTACTGAGAGAATTAAATAAGCTAACCTACACCCCTGTGTATAACTAATGTCCTTTTGTGTGCAAAAATACCACCACAATCATGGATGTGATTTTCAAGCATTTCTGGTAGAAGTGATAATGTATATATTTTTTGAGAGACAGAGAGAGAGAAGAAAGAGTGCGAGCAGGGAGGGGCAGAGGGAGAGAATCCTAAGCAGGTTCAATGCCCAGTGCAGAGCCCGACATGGGGCCGGATTCCCCGACCCTGAGATCATGACCTAGGCTGTGAAACAAGCATCACTTGCTTAACCGACTCAGCCACCCAGGTACCCTGATAATTTTTTTTCTTTTAATTCCATCTCCTGTGTATAAACAAGATTGGTTTGATGAAGTGAAAGGGGGTCTGTGGGAAGGGAGCAGAGCAAACTGAGCACAACACTCGAGAACGGCTAATGGAGGCAGCTGGCAGTGTTACACTGCTGGACCATTATTAATGTCTACCAGCCTCTGAGTCCCTCCAGTTTGGGTCTTGGATCATGTAAAACTAATTAGTGTACTTATTGCTTCTACAAATTAAGAAATGAGGTCTATTAGATTCACTCAGAACAAGAGACCTCTGTTTTGTTTTCGGATATTGCCTGTAGCAGAGTATGACATAATAAGGATATAATTTATCCTCTTAGAGGGTTTAAAGTGTTCAAAAAAATCCCACAAATGCCAATTCCTGAGAGTTGAAGACATATATGCCACAGAATGATTACAGAAAAAAACTGAAAAGAAGCTAGCACTTTAGAAACAGGCCAAAAGCACTCTTCCTATGACTATTATCTCTGTAAAAATGAAGTACTGAAGGTGCCTCTTAGAATGCATCTGGCCCTTCCGCTACTTCACACTCCAGAGTTAATCTGAAGGAGAATCTCTACCTGTGGAGCTAGTCTTTCAGCAAGTGTTGCCTGGTTCTTTTATCTGTAACATCTACCTGTGTCTCTACTCCTCCTAAGACCACCTCGCCTATGGCTGAGGTCTGAATATCTTCCTCAAGGATTTCTGCTCCACCGTGAGGAGGCGGGCAGCACCGTGAGGGCAGGAGGACACAGACATCCAGTTGGACGGAGTTGTGCGGCTGAGGAAGAATGGTCGCTTGAGGGAATTTTTTCAGTCATAATTCCCACAGAGACAGAACTGGGTCATCAGGATCGCAAGGGGTCATCATCTATACGGTTTATACCTCAGGATGTTATTTATTCATCTAAAGCTGCTCTGTCTAGTCTGGTAGCCACTAGACACAGGGAGCTATTTAAACTTAAATGTAAATAAAATTCAGTTCCTCGGTCTCACTCAGCACATCTTAAGTGCCAACAGAGACATGTAGGCTGGTGACTACCTGACTGGACACTGCAAACGTAGAGAACGTTTCTGTCATCACAGAGTTCCACTGGACAGTGCTGGTAAGTATTTGAAGATGAAAAAGTCATAGCCCATAATTCTTTTTCAATTACAAGACATACCAGTGTGTTCCATCACTATATAATAACTTACCAAAAGGGAAACATTCTTTTTTTTTTTAATGTCTAGGATAGCCTCCTACTTAAAGTAGCAAAGTGGGAAAACCAGAAATTTGGATTTGCTGGTGGTGACTCACTCCTTTACCGTCAGATGGAATCTGATACAAGGTGTGATGGTGGATGCCAGCTTACCTGCTGCCACACCGGGCTGGGCCTCCAGGACGCGGTGCACATGTCACCCGCAGCATAGACATCAGAGAGAGACGTGTGCATGTGAGCATCCACCTTCAGGCCTCCGTCTTCTCCTAGATCAAACTAAACAGGGTTCCTGATAAGCATATGTGGGAAGAAAAATGAAAGAGGTCTTTTCTGTTCTAAAGTAAAAGAACAAGTCAAATTTTTACACCTCGGTATGCTGATCTTCGGTGAGAGAGTAAAAAACAGCTGCCAACTTTAGACAACGCAGCTGAATTTCCAGGGAATCAAAATCCTACTAGGACAGCCCAACTAAAAAATTCTTAGACTTTTAAGATCAAGAACACTCAGTAACCATATGATTACCCCACTCATAATTACAATATTACTCAGGTTTCTGAGCTTCAAACGCTAAAAGGCAGAAAATATAAGATAGTTTCTCTAAAAGAATCATTTTTAAGATTTTATAGGTGTCTGTCTCATCAACCTTTAGACAGGTGAACTGTGCATTATGTCCCATTTATGAGGACACTGATGCTGGGACGTTTACTGCTTAAGGACTTTAGGCAATACGAAATACTGTAAATCAAAACATGACTGTAAACTAAATTGTTTTCAGCTTCCTTAAGTTACAGTTTTACACTAAGACAATGAACAGTTAAAAATAATCATAGCAGGACAAAAAATTTCACCTTACATTGTTGCCACAGAGAAAAGGTTCTATATTTGGTGTTAACTCCTAGCACTGACAATGAAATCACAGCCGTTTTTCTTTTCATTAGTCAATTCCACATATATATACCTCTTAAAAAAAAGAACCACAAAACAAAAACAAAAAAAACCCCTTTAATCTCAAATGTAATCACCTTCAGCTGTCCATAGAATTATGTGATAATGCCTAGAACAAAGAAAGAAGGCAGGAGAGGACTTTAAAACAATACTCCTTAAGGGGCACCTGGCCTTCTCAGTTAATAGAGCATGCGACTCTTGATCTCGTTTTGAGTTCTAGCCCCAGGTTGGATGTAGAATTTACTTCAAAAAAGGAACCATGACAGACCCTGGGAAACAAACTGAGGGTTACAGAAGGGAGGAGGGGTAGGGGGATGGGGTAGCTGGGTGATGGGTACTGAGGAGGGCACATGGGATAAGCACTGGGTGTTATATGCAACTAATAAATTGTTGAACATTATGTCAAAAACTAATGATGTACTATATGTTGGCTAACTCAACATAAAAAAAAAACCCTTAATTTTTATAAGGCACATTTGCTAAAACAATTACAATGTAATCAACATTATCTCCTTGTTTTGGGTATGACAAAATTATGACATTCTAAACATTTTTCCTTCAAATTTAGACATAAAACTTCTAACAAAGTAAATTTAAATTGATAATCACTTTATAAATTATTTCTTTAAAAATACTAATACATTATACTCCACTGAGAGTTTAGTCCAATGAGATAACTCACTTTTCAATGTTTTCCCCTTACTACTCATATTCAAACTCTAACACTACCTTTTCCCATGGAAAAATTCAAAGAATTCAAAAACAGTGGAATATCTCATATGCTAGTTCGGCTGAGTGTATTTCTTCCAATGGTGATAGTTCTCACAGAAAGTGTGGAATAGGAATTAGTCTGTTTCTTAATCCCAAGTTTACAGATTTTTAATCTGTTTGATTTGGGGGAAGTCACTTCACCTCTGAGAGCATAAAGGTTTTCTTGGTTTAGATTTGTTTTGATCTGCAAGATACTCTGACTCACAGAGCTGTGGTGGTCATAGCACCGTGAGTCCCATGTATAATTATTAGGAAACTTGAAGACTAAGTAATGAAAAGGAAATGACTTATTAAGTAATGGTTTCATTTTTACTTTTTATGTTTAAATTTCATATGGAAATCTTAAGTTTTTTAATATAGGAAGACTAAGTTTTCTTCCCTTTAAATTAGTGGTTATTGTATTTTTTCTTATTTTCTTACTTACCTTTATCAGTTGTGACTGATTACAATGGTCTTTGGAAAAAGATCATTACATTATTTAGATTGCAAATCACATACTCCCAAATTACAGTAATGAATGTGTGTATAAGTTATAACCTTCAGCTTAATTGTTGTATCTGGGATACATGCACAATGGAAAAAACGCAGAACACCAGCATGAACTAAAAAAAAAAAACAAAAATTATCAACCAAAGCCGAACTGAAATTGGCAATAACATTATAAATACTTCCTGGTTTATGGATCATAAAACAAACCTCTTCTATAATTTAGGAATTAACACTGTAAGTGGAATAGTTTGATTCAAATATAGAAAAGTCAAAGAAATATGCATGTTCCTTTCCCATGAACCAACCTCAAAATGTTACCTGAGCACTCTGTACCACGGATTCCTAGTATGTAAGGATTTCCTTCACATATCAACTTTGGTTTAGCTCCAGCACATAAACAGTTTCTTATACACATGCTGACTGCCATCTCCTGTTAAAATGCACTGTAAAAACACAGAGCAAGGAAGGGGAAAGGAGAAACATATTCATCCATGGGTACAATTTCATTTTAAATAAAAAACTCAATATAAGGAAAGCAAAAAATACATTAAGGTTGCTTCTTGGTGGCACTCAATACTTTGTTACAGCAACTGCAAATCAAAGTAAACATGAGAATGCATTCAGTCAGTCATTCACCATCATTTCAGGGCCATGAACCATTCTGGGAATCTGGCAAAAACTAGTCTTTCTCCCCCTGGAAAAAAAGGTACATTCATACCAGATTTTGCATAAAACATAAGGAATCTCATGATATTCAGGGAGGTATGTTGACCTCAGGTTAAAAACTAAACATTCAGAAATTTTAAAATTGAGCATTCTGATATTATACCTGGGGCAGGCCCTAATGAGTATTTCTGATCTCAGTGGAAGTTACTGTAGGAAGATCTAGTAATTCTAATGGTATCAGACCTTAATAGGTGGTATGGGTACAGGGGGGGTACAGTGTGGTAGGAGAGGGTACATCATCTAAAAACATTAGAAGTGCTAAAAACGCAGTATTTATATGCTTAACTATAAATAACAATCACTTCACCAGCAAACATGCTCTTTGGGGATATTTTCATATATATTTCATGTATTTTCACATGAAAAATGTGTTAACCTTAAATCCTAGCATGTACTGGCTTTAAAGTGATTTAAATTAATTTTTAATGACATCACTGAGTCTAAAACTACGTATCTGAGATCCACTGTTTTTGTTCCTTAATATCGAATGAAAACCTACATCTAAGTAGTAGCCTTTAGAAGGTACATATCTCTAAGTACATATGACTCAGAGATGCCAGACTTTGTCAGAGTGGTTTAGAGCTTAACACTGTGCCATGTGTTTGATTTATAAAACATGGCAAATCATAACTGTAGCACTTGATACCCACTGAGACATTTGTTACCCGCTGTAACTCTTCAGCAGCTTAACAAAAACATAAAGCCAATAATTCCACACAGTATAATGCATACAGGAATTCTACACAAGTCTTCCTGAAGATAATATGGTTAGAATTTTATCTGGCAAACAGTAGTTATAGACCCTGACCAAATCTAAAAATAATTTGCATTTAGCTACTGTAAAAACACACACAAGAACTCTTTTCATTGGCTACTGTTAAATTTTTGGAAATAGACATGAAGATAAAACACATAATCTCTAATTCATTAAAGAATATAAAGGACAGATAATGCAGACATGATCTCATTTAGGACACTTCAACATGGCAATGGGCGGCACTGATTTATTCAAATGCCCAAATATAAATTCCCTCACAATTAGTACACATTTGAGCACACTTCTATCTGCAAATTAACTGACATGGATGTTATATAGGATATGTACTACTATAAATACTAGAAATTTATCCTGGTTTTAGGATTCAGATTTTTTTCTCATAAAATTCAGTACTTATTTTTTCCTGTCAAATTATTTGTGTTCTGAATGTATTATAAGTGTGTTTTCTCCCTAAGGGAGAACTCACAAATGAGAGCAGCTCTAGGGAAACAACGGCAAACTTCACTTCCCATCTTGCCTGAAGCTCATCTGAGGATATTGCTGATCATCTGACAACACCCTTTTCTGAGCCCGCCTTATTCAGTCCCATGTCCAGTGGGTTACTGGGTCCTGCTGAGTTTACAGTAGAAATCTCACTCATATCTGGGCCGTTCTTTCCACTACACTGTCCCTGTCTTAGTTCAGGCCTTCTACCGTTATGGATGATTGCAACCACCTTCTGATTTGGTTGCTGGCCACCAGCCCCTCACTCCACCCCACTTCATCCTCAACACTGCTGTCAGATCTACCTTCCTAAAAGAGTATCCATGGTATCACCCTGCCTCCACCTAAAATCTCTTCATTTCTCCACTGATTACAAAATAAATTTCTTGGTATGACGTAAACAGCTCTTCACACTCTTATTTCTTTGGCCTCGTCTGCCAATCTTCTTTCCTTGTCCCCACTGCAGTCCCTCTGACAGTGTCACTCTTCCATGTGCCCCTTTCCTTTTCTATGGGCCTTTGAATAAGCCACCACCTTTTCCTACAATGCCCCTAATTAAGAACTCTTAATTCTTTAAGACTTAAACCCCATTCAAATATTACTCCCTCTGTGAAGTCCACGTAAATCTCTAATATCAGAGCTTAGATAAGAGTTCAGTGACTGTGCTTTTCACGTCCCTATAGTTATACGTGTGCAGGTGTATATTCGCTCCAACACTGGGCACTCCCAGGGCAGGTTCACTGTAATATTCCTGTTGTCTCCCAGCACTTACCGTGGTGCCCAGAACACAGCAGACACTGTAAGTGTTAATGCTCATGTAAAATGTAAAACCTAAAACGCAAACTAATTATAGAATCATAATAAACCCACAACAAGTATAAATTTTCCCAGTAATAATATAAATCACTAAACTTTATATGCTAAGGACCTTAGTGGTGGTGGCGGTACAGACGGGGTCAAAAGAAAGCAGGCAAAAGCTCATCGAGATTGAACAGTGGGCTGACATTAAGAAAGAAATCCTCGGGCGCCCAGGTGGCTCAGTCGGTTAAGCATCTGCCTTCAGCTCAGGTCATGATCCTGGAGTCCTGGGATTGAGTCCCACATCGGGCTCCCTGCTCCTCGGGGAGCTTGCTTCTCCCTCTCCCCACTCCTCCCCTCCCCACTCATGCTCTTTCTCTCGCTCGCTCTCTCTCAAATAAAATCTTAAAAAAAAAGAAAGAAAGAAAGAAAGAAAGAAGGAAAGGAAGAAAGGGAAGAAAGGGAAGAAAGAAAGAAAGAAAAGAAAGAAAGAAAGGAGAGAGAGAGAGAGAGAGAAAGAGAGAGAGAGAGAGAGAAAGAGAGAGAGAAAGAGAGAGAGAAAGAGAGAGAGAAAGAGAGAGAGAAAGAGAGAGAGAAAGAGAGAGAGAAAGAAAGACAGAGAGAAAGAAAGACAGAGAGAAAGACAGAAAGAAAGACAGAAAGACAGACAGACAGAAAGACAGACAGAAAGACAGACAAAGAAAGACAGAAAGACAGAAAGACAGACAGAAAGACAGACAAAGAAAGAAAGAAAGAAAGACAGAAAGAAAGAAAGACAGAAAGACAGAAAGACAGAAAGAAAGACAGAAAGACAGAAAGACAGAAAGAAAGACAGAAAGAAAGACAGAAAGAAAGACAGAAAGAAAGAAAGACAGAAAGAAAGAAAGACAGAAAGAAAGAAAGACAGAAAGAAAGAAAGACAGAAAGAAAGAAAGACAGAAAGAAAGAAAGACAGAAAGAAAGAAAGACAGAAAGAAAGAAAGACAGAAAGAAAGAAAGACAGAAAGAAAGAAAGACAGAAAGAAAGAAAGACAGAAAGAAAGAAAGACAGAAAGAAAGAAAGACAGAAAGAAAGAAAGACAGAAAGAAAGAAAGACAGAAAGAAAGAAAGACAGAAAGAAAGAAAGACAGAAAGAAAGAAAGACAGAAAGAAAGAAAGACAGAAAGAAAGAAAGACAGAAAGAAAGAAAGACAGAAAGAAAGAAAGACAGAAAGAAAGAAAGACAGAAAGAAAGAAAGACAGAAAGAAAGAAAGACAGAAAGAAAGAAAGACAGAAAGAAAGAAAGAAAGAAAGAACAGAAAGAAAGACAGACAGAAAGAAAGAAAGACAGACAGAAAGACAGACAGAAAGACAGACAGACAGACAGACAGAAAGAAAGAAAGAAAGAAAGAAAGAAAGAAAGAAAGAAAGAAAGAAAGAAATCCTCTTACGTGTTCTTTACTCTTTAGTTGTTTTACCCCGGATTCTATAATCTTAATGTTGGGAAAGCGATTTTCTAACATGGTTTTCGGTTGCTCTTCAACATCAAACTCCTCCAATACTTTAGAAACCTGTATTAGATCAGAAAGGTAAAAATATATGTTTAAAAAATATTTCAAAAATTTTAAATAATAAAAATACTTTCATTTGTTTTTATACACTACTTCATATTCATAAAACAAAGTCGGTCAATTGCACTATATACAGTGTAAAGAGGGCTAACTCCACATTTTAAGACTTGAACTCAAATATTAGTCCTACCTCTCGGGCAAGTCAGCCAGGTCACTGCACCTTAGTGTCCTAGCCTGGAAAATGAGGGCTGACTCTACTCACTTCTGCATTCTTTTACCACAGCTTGTTGATTCCCTTATCCTTACAGTTTTCTCTGTCCACTTACTAGCCAACTTTATTGTGATCTAGCCTTTAGACTCTTTCCTGTTGTCTAAACCCAAGAGCATCCTCTTGGACTCACTTCTCTTCCTGTGCAGCCATGACTCCACTGTAGATCATTTCATGTTTTGCCCAAACTTTTACTTCCTTGCCTTCTTTTCTTTAACCATTAATTACCCGGAAAACCCCCCACCACAGACTGAACTGCCTGCTTTTTCCAGTCCTATACCCAGTCTGCTGTGGAAGGACCACACCTTGCAGACTGGCATTTGACCTCAGGTGCCCCCTAAATACTACTGGGAAATCCTACTACATGGCCCTAGTGGTTCTCAAACTGTTTAGTCTCAAGACCCCTTTATACACTTACAGATGACTGAGGACCCCGAAGAACTTTTGTCCATGTGAGTTAAACCCAGTGATATCTGCTACATTAGATATGAAAACTGAGAAAAATGTAAAATATTTAATTTAATTAGAAGTATAATAAATCCGGGGCGCCTGGGTGGCTCAGTCGGTTAAGCGTCTGCCTTCGGCTCAGGTCATGATCTCAGGTCCTGGGATCGAGCCCCACGTCAGACTCCCTGCTCAGTGGGGAGTCTGCTTCTCCCTCTCCCTCTGCCTGCCACTCTCCCTGCTTGTGCTCACTCTCTCTGTGTCAAGTAAATAAATAAAATCTTAAAAAAAAAGAGAAGTATAATAAATCCAAAACATGTTAAACAGATATAATATCCTTTTAATAAAAAATAACATTTTTTTTCCAAAACAAAAGAAATTGAGTGAGAAGAATGGCACTGTTTCACATTTTTGCAAATATCTTTAATGTCTGGTCTTAATAGAAGATGTGCTTCTCCATTCAAACTATTACAATATGTTAATCTGGTTGACGTATATGCAGCCTTTTCAGAGAATGTATATTCTTCTTTGACGTTACACTAAAACTCAACAAGCGTGATTTCTTAAAGATTAGTTGCAATAGAGAATTTGAAACCATATTAAAGAATTTTTCATCCTTCGTTCCTGTGAAATCCACTGGTCTATCCTGCACTTTGAATGGATCTTGTAACATCACATTCATCATCTGGACAACAGTGGTTCCCTAAGTTACGGAAATCTGCCCAATGTTAACACATTTTATATCACTACAATACCAAAAGATCACATTATTATCACCAACAATCTCATCAGAAACGTCTTTAAGTACCACGAGGCTCACAGTGAGGAAATGAGTTTCCCAAAGTTCTAATTCTGGCTGGAAAGCTCTAATTTTGTCCTGTTGCCAACAAGTACTATCACCTGTGTTCCTTGAAGTGACAGGCTCACTTCACTCATTTTCCAAATATGAATTACGATAGTGTGTCAGTTGTTCTTTCAAGTAAAGCTGGTGTCCGTAAAAGAGCAATTAGCTCCTCTTGCAACTCAGCAACAGCAGAACTGCTTCTCCTTGAGACAACACTACTCCTGTATGTAGAACAGGTGCTTTATGCCTACAACCCATTTCATCATACAGAGTATTAAAAACACATACGCTTATGAGTCAGGACTTAATAAAACATTTTTTACTGGCTCTAATTTATTTAACTGAGTGCGTGCAGTGAAGAATACAATGACCACCAGCCCAGTTTAGCCACCATTGCTCTTATACCATCGGGGCTCAAGTGTCAATATAGTGAAAACTTGTATTAAAGAATGTGGGTAGTATTCTTCACTGAAGTATGGGAAGAAAACAGGTACTTATTTAACTCTTTTGCATAGGCATTATAACATTCATAATTAGAGCACTATAGCATATGCATATAATTTATAAACATATAAATATACATATATTAGGATTTTAGCGAACACTCTTTAACAGGTGACATACCAGATCAAAACTGTTTAGAGATCAGGGTGCCTCAGTTGGTTGAGCTTCTGACTCTTGATCTAGTCTCAGGTCTTGATATCATGGTTGTAAGTTCAAGCCCCACTTTGGGTGTGGAACCTACTTAAAAGTCTGTTTAGAGATCACTCTTCTATGATACTATGACCCAAATGATCTTAGATTTCTAATGTAATGTTATAATGTGTGTAATATAAATTATGGAACTACAACGTGTTCTCAGATGCTTATTACACATGTGAAACATTAATTATGTGCAAATGTGGCTGAGAAGCACTTTTCTGATTTTCAGACACACACATTTATACACATACATCTATTTATAATAATGATATACACATATATTTGTACCCATAGTTAGATTTGCATAGCATTTTTCCTCAAAAGAACTTTAAAATTTTCTAAAAAGTAATTCTGAGTGCGAGGAAAAGATGGGAAAAAAAAGACAAATTCAACATCATTTAGGTGCTTTTGATACTTAATTCTAAACTTTGAGCTTTGATCTTAAAATGACTATCAAAACAGTATTTGTCATTTTAAACACTTAAAAACTATAACTACACTAAATGCTAGTCAAGTTACTGAAATTTAAAAACATTAATACTAAGAAAGTTATACAAAAGTTCTTACCTGCTTGAAATTTATAACCGCTTTAATAACAGAAGCTGTTACCAGGAGAATATCTTCTGATGGAAACTGGATAGCCAACTTATTAAAAAAAAAAAAAAGTTGGGAGAAAATACATGATAAATAACTTTAGGTACTTTAGGTATTAATATATATGCCATGGAGGGTGAGACAGGGATAATGCAATTTTAATAAGGTTATTAACCTAGGAAACTATAAACTCACTTTTCCTCATCTAAAGGTCTCCATTATTCTGTGTCTTCTTATTTATGGGGTAGTGGTAAGTAATGTCCAACTCTGATACTGATAAAACAAGTAATACATTTACACTAAACACTAACAAAGCCTCCTGAACAAGAAAAATGATACAAAGAGGTATTCCTTATTTACTTAAACTACATTATATACCAATTTAAAGTTGTCATGCAGAGAATGAGAAGAAAATATTTTCCTAAATAACAGTTAAACAAACTCTGATTTATTTTAAAATAATATTTTCACTTCCCTGCCGTAGGATTATATTAGAGTAAATCCTTACTAATAAATACTCAGAATCTTAGCCTGACTTTTCCCAAGTGTTCTGGCACTGCTATTCTGCCTCTTCCAAATGCCCAACCAGTATACACTCTGGGAAAACAAAACCATTTTAGTAGTAGCTTCAACAGAATTTAGAGGCCAAACTTGCCATTTTTTTCCATCATTTTTCCTGGTTACAACCTCTCTCTTTCTTACTTTAAACTTCTTGAAAGAATCTTCTTAAATCCCACTCCAGTACCTCATCTCCACCACATTCTATTTCTTTCCCTACAATACCATTAAAACTGACCATGTTCAACCAAAAAACTATTAGAATGAACAAATGAATTCAGTAAAATTGCAGAATACAAAATTTACATACAGAAACTGGTTGAGTTTCTATACACTAATAACGAGCCATTGGAAAGAGAACTTAAGAAAACAACCCCATTTACAATTGCATCAAAAATAATAAAATACTTGGGAATTTATCCAAAGACGTAAAGACCTGTAACTATAAGCCACTGATGAAAGAAATTGAAGAAGATATACATAAATGGAAAGATCTATCATGCTCATGGATTTGAAGACTTAATATTGTTAAAATGTCCATACTACCCAAAGCAATCTACAGATTCAATGCAATCCCCATCAAAATATTAATGGCATTTTTCCCAAAACCGGAACAAAGAATCCTAAAATTTGTATGAAGCCACAAAAAGATCCTGAATAGCCAAAGCAATCTTTAGAAAGAAGAACAAAGCTGGAGGTATTATGCTCCCTGATTTCAAATCAAACTACAAAGCTGCAATGATCAAAACGGTATGGTACTGGCATTAAAAAAAAAAAAAGGACACACAGAGCAATGGGATGGAACAGAGAGCCCAGATATAAGCCCACATACAGATAGTCAATTAATCTATGACAAGGAGGCAGGAATACACAATGGGGAAAAGAAAGCCTCTTCGTAAATAATGTTAAGAAAAGTGGGGAGGGGTGAAAGATGGCGTAGGTGTAGGGGCCCCTATTTCAGCTGGTCCCCAGAATTGAGCTGGATATCTACCAGACCACTGTGAGCACCCACAAAACCAGCCTGAGATGTAAGAAGATCTGGATCTCTACAAACAGAATATCGCAGGCAGTTGGTTTTGAGGTACAAAGCAGAGAGCCGTGATTCTGCGGGCAGATATGGAGGATAAACGGCAGTGGGACAGTACCTGGATGTGGGGATCCTACAACACCAGTGAGTGACAGCCTCGCGTGCTGCGGGGCACAGACTCGCAGACCAGTAGCAGCGGGGAAAGGACTCTGGGGCCGCCCCCAGGGTGGAAAACCAGACTGGCGGGGTCGCGCGCAAGCGAACCACAGCCCCCCCCCCCCCCCCGCCAACAGAAACCTGGAGCGATGGTCTTGCGCACGCAACTGCAGCCTCCTAGACGGAAACCCGGTGCACTGGGGTCGCGCGGTGAACAGCAACCCCCAGGGTGGAAACCCCAAGCGGGGGAGTCGCGCACGCGCGCGAACTGGGAGCGGCCAGTGGTTTTAGAAGCACAAAGGGCAGAGACATGCCCCGACCTGGAGGCAGGACTGGGAGCACTGCGGAGGGGCGCACAACCCAGGATGCTGCAGTTTATAGCAGCACGGACAGAAACGGAGACGGTG